GTGACCCGACAGTACTTGCTCACACAACGTGGATGGACAAAGCAACTTAGTTTGAGCTTATTTTTGCAGCTATGTTCACATGCGCATCCGTGTACATGCTATATGGCTTTCGGGGTTCCAAATCACGCTAAGGGCGATGGTCGACCGAGCATGGCAATGGGCCAAACAGAGGAATCTGTGGAGGCAAAACACGATCCACGGTGAGGAAGAAATATGCATAGTATTGGACGACAGTTTTGCTTATAGCGATGAACAGGGGTTTGAATCGCAACAGCAAGGAGCCTTTGAGATGGAGGACCCTTCAGTTCAATTGTCGAGCAGTCTAGCCAAAGGTTATCTATAATTTTGGTGGTTTACAGGGCTGCCTGTGTAGGACCCCACGGGATCACTTCTTGACAGTGACATGGTGCCTGAATCCCATGCGCGTTTGTTGCCGGAGATTGACCAAACGGATGATCCCACCTATCAAACGGAGATGCTGAAGGGAAATTGTGCTTCTTTCAAGTTCCTATTTTGCATATATGTGCAATGATTCAGAATGATTCCATGCTTCCCTCTAGGCCTGTCCACATGCATGCCAGTGGGGCTAAGGCTTGTCTTTCCGGCCGTGCAAGAGAATGCCTCATCTCTTGCTGTGATCCCAACCTTTTTGGACACATTGGGTCAAAAGATCGACAAGGCTGAGCGTGAGAAGGACTTTGTCGCTTTATGTTCGTGGATTGTTTACGCATGCAGCGCTAGGGCAACAATATGTTTAGCTGTGGCAGGAAAAATTGAAAGAGAAGGGCTTTCCTCGAGCGCTTCAGCTTCTTGCATGCAAGAATCCATGTTTTTCATGCATGCACGAATGAAATACTAGTGAGATCAATCAGTAGTTCCTCCACACCCAGGATGGCCAACCAGATCAGCTCAGTCCTCTCGGAGATGTCCGCCTTCTACGATGAGATGGCCGCCTTTCAAGCTGAAGCCATGGTCGGAAAGTGCCCGATGGTTTTCATGTTTTCATTGATCCGTGCGTTGACCTGTTCCAAGCTGACAAATGCATGCGTTGGGAGACACGTGGGTCACATATCTTCAATCTAGGTGTGACTTGAAAAGCCTGACCACAAAGACTGTGGAGATTACCAAGAAGGATGTTGTCCTGAACAACTTGCTGCAGCGTTCCAAGTCAATCTTGCATGCTTATCATGTTTGGGCCCAACTGTCGACCTTAGGGGGGCGGGAATGGGAATAAGGGTTAGCACTCATGCCCGGAACCCGGCAAGCTTTTCCTTACTGGCCCTTTCTCCCAGCATATCCCCGCCAGGAATGTTCAAAAGCCTTCGGCAAAGGCAGCTGCTGTGAGACCCCCGCCAAAGTTGCCTCCTCCTGCGGCAAAGGCGAAAGCGCAGGGGAAGGCCAAAGCCAAAGGCAAGGCCAAAGCAAAAGCTCGCGCTGCCCGAGATTCGCAGGAGGAGTGATCGATATGCTTTAGCTTGAGATTTTCGAAATTCACTGTCAACTGATATGTTGACTGTCCGCTTGCTGTAAAGCTTCGTGGGGGAACACGTGGCTTGTACTCAGGAGTGGCCCTAAGAGGAAAACCCTTGTGCAAGAGTCCGCATTAAGTTTTTTTCACCCTTCTGCACTGGACACTTCCCATCTAATGCCATAGTAGAAACTTTACTAGTACTAGAGCTCCCACGCAGGTGCATTTCCTGGTGATGTGGACGCGAAGAAGAAAGACCAGCAAAGCTAGAACCTCAGCAATGCGGCGATGGTGTGAGTGAGTGGGTGATGTTTAGTATACATTGTAGCTGCAGGTAGAGATGCAGCAGAATCCGATTCTGATGGGACTACTTCGGATCTTGCTGCTGAATTAGTTCATGGGTTTGAGGATGGAGTCATTTGGAAGCAACATGAAGAGATCCTGAAAATGTTTAGAGTTCGAACTGAATTTCACTGAATATATATGTTGAAATCTCTGGGGTGTAGCGAAAGGCTGAATCTGCTCATCGAGTGGTACGGCTTGCGAGAGTGACAGCAAAGAGAATGCGCTCACTAGGAACCTTACGTCTTTGGAAATGTTGTTCTACACGTTTGCATCTTTTGGCCTTCGGGGGGTCGGAAGTGTCTTGTTTGGCTTGAATGCATTTGAGGAGCATCTGATCCTCTATTAGATGAGATTGGCAGAGCTGGACCTACTTCCAAGAAGAAGTTCCGGAACGTGTCCCGGAACTTCCATGCCTGGATCAACCGTACTAAGAAGGTTTTGCCGGTGAAAGTGTCGACTGTGAAACTTCGCGTTCTAGAACGTCGACCGAGATTGAAACAAGTTGAGAAGAACTTCCCGATGATTGGTTTGAAGTCTTGGGCGGAGTACCTTCTGGAACACTCACCCAAGTTTTTGCTGGCAGGGCATAGCCTGGAGGACCATGGGTATGAAGAAACCTTCAGATTATTTTGGGAGCGCTATTTCAAGCTAGATGGCAACCATCCGGTGTACCAGAACTTCAACGAATCTTCGTGGGGGAGCCTTGTGCCATATTGCCTACATGGTGATGAGGGCCGTGGGAAGGCCAAGCGGCCTGTCCTCATCACCTCCTACCAAATGATCATCCCCCAGGAAGGATTGGGCGAGACCAACATGAAAGGGTACCTTAGCTAAGCAAATCGATTTGATATGATTGCAATAGTACCTACCACAAGCGTTTGGTTTCAAGTGTTTTGCTCTTAAGGCACTCCTTTACTACAAGACTATTGGCATCCATCATGCCCAGCCAGTTGATGACCTCGAAAGACGAAACTCTGGATGACATGAACAGGTTTATGGTAGATGATTTGAAAGACTGCTTCTACGAGGGTGTCCAGGCTAGATCCATAGTGCGTTTCTTTGACGCAATCACCAATGTTCCGCTTGGGCTCCCCGGCTCCAGGTCAAAGGACACACCATCCGATTCATCTACCTGGGCTGTAAAGGCGATTGGCCTTATTTGAGAAAGATTATGAATTTGGCCAGTGGGTTTCGTTCCAAGAGATTGTGCCACATGTGCGCGGAAACAAACACCTGACTATACTTTTCGTGCACACGCGTGGAAAACAAAAAAAGCATCGATTGTTAAGTGCATGCTTTTAGTGGAAGGCCTCATGTTGGAATAAGTGCACCTCTTGCCTAGGATTGGTGGACATTCGGTGAGAAGAAGTCCTGCCTTCACAATTGGGACCCTGTCAATACTCCGTTACCGTGGAAAAGGAACAGGTCACTTTTGCTAAACCTTCCTGGTGCAGAGTGTCCTATGAGGACTCGAGTTGATCTAGCTCATACCTGGGCTATAGGGGCCGGAAAAGATTTTTGTGCAAGCGCCATCGTCGCTCTGTGCAGGCTCGGTGTTTTTGGCGCAGGCACCATGCCAGCTCGTCTTGACCGAGCCCATGACCATTTCACTGAATGGTGCTACTTTGCTAAGCAACATGTGCAGGTGAAAGATTTCACACTTCGTTCACTAAAGGTGACTTCGTTTCTTGGCAACAAGAGCTAGCTGTGATGGAAGCTATGCATGTGAGGTGTATGTGCATGTGAGGCCAGTGTTGTTGATCCATTGGGAATATCCTAGGTTGCAACAATACCCAGTGCTATCGGGAAAGGGGCATGACTGCATTGTGGTTCACAAGTGGCTTTCCTTTGTTTGCGGCCAATGCCAACCTGATTCATTGGAGTTCCAGTTGCATGTTAGCTTGCCGTGTTTCTTTGTCCAGGCCATGCAAATTCGATTCCACTCTCTTAGGACCAGAGTCATCGGGACTTTTCGACGTGCTCAAATACACGGCCGACTGTGGAAACATATGGTTCAGGGAATTGTACAAGCATGGCATTTTCATTCCTTCGCATATTGGTGCAGGGGTGGCTCCAATGGCATGGGGGTTGACAGATGCTGGGACTAAGATAGTTCTAAAATTTAAATAGAGCTAGTACATGTGCTTGCTGCACTACTGCGCTGGTATAGTTTTTTTGCTATATTGTGTGCGTGAGGAGGGGTATGGATGCCTTGCCTCTATGTCCACGGATCGCCGGTGGGTCTTGTTCCGCGTCAAGCCTAAGCTGCACATGCATGAGCATGTTGCGCATCTTGGCACTTACACCGGGGGATATGCTCGGTACACACGCGTGCAAAATGTAGGATGCACAGGGAACAAGTGGTCCCAGCGATCCCTCTTTGAGGCATGAGTTTCATCGCCAATGCAATACATCCGCACATGCACTAAATCCCCTGTGTGTCTTGGCATCGAATTGTGGTGCTTGGAAGTTCATTAGCTATGTAGTTCACTGTTCTAGCTGACTGCCCACACTCTACAAAATAAGGCTTTGCCGCATGGCAGGATGAGGACTATATTGGCCAAGTGGCCAGGATCACGAGGAAGACTCATGATTGGACCACAGTGCCCAGAAGTTTCACTCGAATTCTCATGAGGTACAAGAGGATGTTTAACTGCTAAATCTTGAGTGCAGCAAAAATGCGATGAGATGCTGAGCGATGCTGAGCGCCTGGCACACTGATTGTGTCCAAGTTGATGTCGACAGTGATGTGCACGATGTTCATCATCTCCAACTAACCCTTTCGAACGTTTTTTTAAAGGTCGAGCGTTTTTTCCTATAGGTCGCACTTATTGGATCAAACGTTTGTAAATTTCTCGTAGCAGAAAAAAAGGTTACAATTGAAGCCCCAGGTATATATACGTCAACCAAATAAATCCCATGAACAAAAGCACCAGCAGCTGACTTTTAAGACTCTTGATCAATCAAGACCACCCCCATTTGGATGCACTCACTTGCGGGTCCTGGGCGCTTCTACACCATCCCTTGTCGCATGTTATGGCGACCCCCATTTGGAGTGTCACCCCTCCTCACTTGGGAAGCCTTTGTCAGATTCAAACGTCTACATCATCAGGCACTCTCCAGCCGGTCTGTCGCCGCCCCACGCGCCCCGTGACAGTCGCTCTGTCAGCGCCGGTCGCATCCGCGCCTTGAGCCCCGCCAAGGCGGTCACCGGGCCCATCCACTCGCTGGTGCTCCCATAGCGCTCCACGGGCTCTCCCCTGAGACGGAGCCAGAGACGGGCCGACCCGGACGGACCTCGTCCTGAAGCGACCACGGCGAAGGTATGAGTGTTCTATGTGTGTTCGGCGTATTTTTCGTGTGAGATCATCACCCCAGAAAAAATAAGACAGCGTTCCAAAGATGGAGCATCCCGATGAACCGGGCCCCCCCACTTGTAGAATCTCAGGAGTTGCTCTATCACTTCCTCAGCCATGCTTGCAAGGAATTGGAACTCTGCCGGACAGGAATGCACCTACAAGTCTGCAATGTTACAGTAACATAACACATCAACAACACTAATGTGAATCAATCAAAATATGATTAGTGCGTATTCACTTCTGCACATATACATGGAAGCCAGGAACCAAACATGACCTACATACATGGCACTGCAGACCTATATGTCTAGCTGCTATGTTGGGAAACCGTCTAAGAAAAATAGAAGAGAAAACAAACATGGAAGTGGAAGGAAACCCGTGGACATGCACAGTTTCCCCCACTAACATGGAAGCCGTACTGCATGTGTTGGCCTCCCTGGTGTGGCCTTCCTGTAGCTATCAGTTTGATATCCTTCAGCTTGATATGGGTAAGTCATTTGGCTCGGGGCTACTGTACATCCTTCATGCAGCTTTGAACCCGACACCCAGGCCAACGACAGCTAATGACCAGAGAAATTGAGACACATACACATCTCTTCCTAGGATAGACCTGTGACCCTCCCAAAATTCGTGACTGCTATGCCAGTGGTTTGTGCAAGAAAACAAGTTTCTTTACCACTAACATGGCACTGCAGATGCTGCTGAAGTCAAGCAGAGGTGTTTTCTATGTTAGTGGCATTTCTTGGGTTGAGGCTCTGCTAACATATATGCTGTTGTTTTTGATGCTCTGCTTCTAGGTATGTGTGCGGAAGAGTAAGTAGATTAACTAGTGTGGACCTACTCTCTCTCTCTCTCTGTCTCTCTCTCCCTCCCTCCCTCCCTCCCTCCCGCCCTCTTTATAATACACACCTGTGCTGTGAGTGCTCACGGGATTTAATAACCACCAGCAATGCCACACCACAAAACCAAATGGGATGGACGGAACCTCTGTCATTTGGAGAGTTGATCAGACTTGGCAGCTTGAAGCTTTGGTCATGAAGATGCTCACCACCTGACTATCCTCACCCTGAGATTCTCACCACCTGAGCATTACACTGGGTTTCTGAAACCTTGGGTGCCCCCCACCAGCATGAAGGAGGAGTTGGCTGTGCAGCCCATCATGGCATTCAACACGGAGCCATCCTCGCGGGACTCGCTGACTGGCTCGGAGACACCGCATGGAAGGCCAGTCTTGCCATGCCCAACAGGGTATTAGATCCCGTACTGGGATGGGTCTGGGTGCAGGCTGTCAAATATGGACGATGGAGGCAAGAAGTTGTTCATGTGAACCTTCATATAGCAGTAGAGAGATGTGTTCCTGAGCTACCAACTTCCTGATGACAAAAAGAACCAGTCGGAGAAGGGAAAAAAACAACCAAATCAAGTAGAAATTATGTAGGCCCTGGTTGTAAGGAGCGGGAGATCGTTCCTGGTCCCATATTCTACAGCATTTCTATACCTTTCCGCGTCAGCTGCCACAGGAGCAGCGAAACACGGTAGGCCGTCACGGTCCTCCGTCCAGCTCGCCAAGAAGGTGGTCGCGTTGCCGGCCAGGTCCTCGAACTTCCATTTCATTTCCTCGGCTCCGTCTGGGACGGAAGGGAGGACGGAGGACAGTAGATGCGTGCGTGCTGCTTCCCTTTTTTGGGTTTGGGACTAGGAGTCTAAGAAGAATCAGGTCATCAACCACGGTAAAACCGCTCTCCTCGTTGAGGCAAATCCCAACTCTGTCCACCCAAAACCACCCCAATGGCTTCCAACTTCATAGAAGAACAACACTTGAATTATGCAAATGATTGCAAATGCAAATCACCGCCTCCCTCTCAAACATCTCATCAGGCAAACTACCTTATGAGACCTCGCTACTTCTGCACATTATCTAAATGAGCTCTAATATCTATAATTAATTATGATGCCTCAGGATCATGTGTCATCATCCATCATCTAGTTGCTAGCTATTTATGGCTTCAATATGCTTCAATGGTTCACTTGGAGATTCCCTACCCCACCCACTGCGTTTTTTTCAAGGCACCACGTCCAAGTCCGTGTAGAAGCCGCCTTCACGCGCCAGCACCGCCGCTCGGCACACATCACTCCGATAGGAGCCCCTGCCGGAAACAGTGCCACCGGGCCACCAGACTTGGGTTGAATGGCCGACAGCACACATTTGGCTGATGACGTCGCACATGGGATGGTACCTTTTTTTCAACATCGAACCCAGTTGATGCATTTCTTCAGGGTGCCTTGGATTCAGGTGAAATGCTTGTTTGGGGGAGGGAACTTTCAACTACTCCGGGGACGGGAAGCACATGACCACAACAAACAATAGGTACAGAATGGCACAGAATGCAACATAGCGGCCACTGACAGTCGATCGTCATCGCATCCATCGTCACCTCCAGACCCTGAGTGAATCTCGCCAACCCCGCGCCTGGTCTCCTGATTGAAGAAAAGGGGGAGCTGAGTATGGTTGAAGTGCTGCAGCAAGTAACCTCGGTAGCAGGAAGGCTGGGCCGGCTAGGCAAGTTCCCCAAAAACCCAGCAGTCATCATAATCAGTATTGGCAAAAATTTATGGCACTTCATGGTGTGGAGCAAAAAATCAAACATTATGATTGAACAAATTGGGAAACGCTGCAGGCACGCTGCTACCTAGTAGGAGCCAGGAGAAAACCGAGATTGGTCTTTTTGGCCAGCTCTTGGAAGTGTTATCTTGCTCACACCTATGCCGCTACCAGCACATTAATCCCTCCAAGCCATGGTAGAGATATTAGAGTCATTAGAGATGATCTCTCGCCCAACGCGGGCTGGAGGATTCAACGAAATTCGCCATGCGGATTGACACAAGAAAATGAGACAAAACAAAAAGGAAAAGGCAACAAACTGTGATCGCAAGTTTCACTAAGTTTCCCTGCGTTTTAGTCCAAGTCCCCTCTCCACTTTTGATCAATTGGACAAGTGTTTGCCCCGTCAATATGTTTTGGACACCGATTTCTACCATTTCCTACCTTGCTTGGGAGCACCGCAACCTCAACTTGCTGCATGATTTGCTTCGATGCGTACTGGTAAAGACCCTGGGCCCAGATATATGTGTGTTGTTTTTGGTGCCGGGACGGCTGGAAATGCAGATTTTGTGGCAGGCGCGGCACTTTGTGAACCTTGCTGATCTTAGCATCCAGGTCTTGCGTCAAATTGCAAAAACCTGGTGGCCCTGAGCATCCACTTGCATTATCTTGCATTGGCTTTTTGTCTACATCTTTCACATTACTGCAACAAATTGGGCAACATTAGATTTATATCCCAAAAGAATGCGGGTTTTAGTGGAATGTTTTCTTCCCGTGGCCCGCAACGCTGTGTGAATCTTGGAAATTAGCCCCTATAGGGTGCCTCACAAAAGGTATGTATCGTCTCCAAGGTTCCTTCCTCCACTAAATTATGCCCGCATGCAACTCACAAAAGGCATCCTACGTTTGATCAGAAAAGGTATGCTACGTTGGAATGGCCCCTTCCTTCCCTAAATATTGCAGTGGTTTCTTCCTGCTCTAAATGCTGCCCTCGGATGGCTCACAAAAGCTAAATGGTTCCTTCCTCCTCTAACTTTTGCCCCACCGGTTCGTCAAAAAAGGTATGCCAGCTTGGAACACGGCTCACAACAGGCATCCTACGTCCTACGTTTCAACCTCTAAATTTTAACCTTGGGTGGTTCACAAAACGTGCTACGTTGGAATTTCCTCATCTAGTTGTTGCCCTCGTTGCTCACAAAAGTCATGCTACGCCGGAATGGCGCCCTTCTTCCTTCTCTAAATCGTACCGTGGGGTGGCTCACAAAAGGTATGCTCATGGTCTCTTCCTGCTCTAAATTCTACCCTCGGGTGGCACACAAAAGGTAAATTTTAACATATTTTAACCGCGGATGGCTCACAAAAGGTGTGCTACATTGGAATGGTCTTCCTGCTCTATATAAATGATAGGATTCGGGCCGCTGTTTCCATTAATTATTTGGATGCCCCACAAAAATATACTCTAGGTTGGGGTGGCCTCTTCCTCCTCTGAATTTTACCTTCGGGCGGGCATGCTATGTTTGAACCCCCTCACAAAGGTATGCTACCAAGTGCGGCTCACACAGGAAATGCCAGGTTTTCATGGCCCTTTCTTCTCTAAGTTTTACCCTCCGGCGGCTCCCAGAAGGCCTTCCAAGTTTCCATGGTTCCTTCCTTCACAAAATTGCTCTACGTTGGAATGGGCCCTTCCAACTCAAAACGTCCCAAACACCCTGTTCTCTCGGGGCCAAAACCAGAAAGCACACAAGCGAGTGAATGCATTGTACCCTTCTTTGTATATATTATCCCGATTATATATTCTTTCTTCCTCGTCAATCTTTTCTCGATGCCTTCCTTCCTTCCCTCCCTCCCTTGGACGGTGCCGACCAGGAGAAACAAAAAACACTCAAAAAAATTATCCTCCCAAGACCTTCAAACCTCCACTGGGGGCCCCACGTTCGCAGTCCTGGTCGCCCAAAAAGCGCACCTTGACCCAAGGGTTCAGTGCCATCCTTAGTCAATGTGGCGCACCCAGATGGCTTGGTTTGGCGTTTCAATGAAGGAAGTTGCCTCATGTTTTATTAACAACTAGATCCAGATCCATATTCTCAGCTCAACTGGCTCAACTGGAGGGCATTTTTGAGTTGTCCCGTGCAATTTTGTGTGACCATGGCTGGTAGAAGAAAACATGATTCTGCACTGTTTCAGCTGCCCAGTAGCAATTAGACCCTGCCGGCAAACCACATGCATACATTGTCTACCTTGCATGTGCGTGAATGCATGAAGATAAATGTGTTCATGGGCCACCATGCATGTGTGTTGCAACAAAACATACTATATTATGTGTTATACAATGTGATACATATCATATCCATGTCTACTGTTGTTTCTGAGTTTGAACCAGCATGCACACAAAACATAATATTATAGATGCAACGCGCTCGTGCATGCACACATGACATGGCAGGAGCATATCAGCGTGTGCAGAAATTGAGCTATGGGGATCCCCTGCCGGAAGTGTAGCTTAGCAAATGATCCAGCAGGCATGCTCCACTGTTCCTGAGGCCTAGGGGCGTATGCCGCACATTCCGCTGCACTGCCACCGGGAGGGAATTGATGGAGCCATCCTGGAAGGGATCTTCCGAAATCCAAGTGACCCAAAACTTGAGGGGGTCAAGGCGGGCCGATGTCCAGTGAGATCCATGTCATCCAGTGAGATCCAAGCCCCCAGAAGCCCTGACATGCCCTGAAAAAAAACCAAGCCGCTCAAGCCTGCATCATTTGGTTGAATCTTGAGTGGGACAGAAGCTGAACTGGGGCATCCTTGATTCCCTGGGTTCAAGGCCGCTTTGGAAAGCAGAAGTTTCCGGGAAAAAACAAACTCCGAAGCCATTTTCGGGTGCCGTTTTCGCCACCCGTTTTCACGGCTCCCAACGTCCAGGACGAGAGCTTGGTCTGAGAGAGCGTCACGTTCGTCCATCCAAAAAAGGTGGAAAAGCGGGGGGCAACGTGCCCCCCTATGGAGGATTCAAAGGTGGTTCAGATTCAAATACTGGATCCTAGTCACCCTGTCAAATATCAAATCTAGACTCCTCCACATGATCATGTCTAATCAATACTCTGTTCGGACAGGAACTCTACAACGTCCAAAACCTCAGAGATTTCTAGACTCTTGGAGGTTCTGAGCCAGCCCGTTCTGATTTTGATGTTATTGTTGAGTTAAAATTAGACAGTCATGAGTCATAAGTTATATGATGTTAAATATGATACTCCTCCAAATGGTCCTATTGGTCGGCCCTACCACGTGGCCGGTCTTTTTGGGGCGTTGGGTCCAAGCGAACACGAACGACGATGATTTCGGGCCCCCAACGGCCTGTTTTGCATTTGACTGGTTTGATTTGGCGCAGGGTACGGATTTGGCACTGGTGGCATTCCTAAGTATGCCGGCCAAGCCCCAAAAAAAACATAATGGATTTCTGTCCAAGCCATGGCTTTCAGGAGCTTTCGCCCTCAAGAATCCTGACGCCGAATGAACCCGTGTGTTAACCGGAAGAATCGCGGGTCCATTGCGACTCCAACGACTCACGGGACGTCCTTGGACGTCAGGACCAGTTGCTGAGGAATCCTGGAGCTGGAGGCCGAACCGACGATGGACCGATCCGAATGAACGTCAGTCATGTGGACCACCCCATCGCCCATGGGTAGTTGAAACCCTTTTTTGTATTGTGTATCTTGGGCACGAAGGTCCGGCACTTGTAAGGGGCATCCTTTGCAAGACTGTTGAGGCGAAGCTTTCTATAAGAAGTTTATTGAACAACATGTTTGGGTTTGGCATGGATGTTGGAAGGTCTTGGATTTACAAGAGTTGAGTGGCGGCAAAGCTCTTCTAGCTATTCCTTGAGGAACATCTCTCAGTGATCACTCTGAAGTTTTCGGGGTGAGATTTGCCATTTGTGCCTCCAGAACCCTGACTTTTTGCATTTTCTGGGAGGCTTGCTTTCTGATAGTTCAGACCAGCTACCTGATACGAGCTAAACATTATTTACAAGGGGGGGACGGCACCATGGGGCACCGAAACTCTCGCGCCGGCCGCTGAAACTCCCGTTTCGGCCGCTTGGCATTCGGACACCTACTGGACCCATGCACCAGTCTGGATCGATGAAGCTTGGTGCAGCAGGCCCACTATGGAACACTTACTTGGTCCGAGCTTCAGATTGGGAAACGCTCCGTGTATGCTTGGTGGCAAGGTTTCAGGAAACCAGTGCCGCACCTGAACTTGCCAAGAAGTATAAACTCTCGGTCTGCGGGCCCTTTCCAGAAGCGGCCTGGGTCGGAAGTTCATTGTACTTCTGCAAGGTTTCCCCTTCATAAACGGGAAGATGTGTACCTGTATACTGTACTCTCTATGTGTGTGCATACAGTGTAAATCGTAATTGCGGAACATATGCGTATATGTATAATACATATACTGTATGTCTATAGTATATGGATGTGTATATACTGTATATAAATATATATATATATATATATGGACTCTCCGCGTGTCGTACATGCATGTCTAGAGTTTAGAATGTATACCTCCTGGATGCCCATTGCCTCCTGGATGCCCATTGCATATCCCTCTGTCCCTGCCTGGCCCTCCCCCCCGCCGCCTCGTCTCCTTGGGCTTGGCTCGGAGCCGAGCGAGCTTCACCGAGAAGCGAAACGGTGGCGAAGCCACAGGTTGAAGATCCTGGGACTGGTGGAATGATGGTTTGGACGCAACGCTGCCGTTGGGGGAGGGTGGATGAACCAAAATCATGTGAATGCAAGTGGACGTGGGTCAAAGCGCGCCCAAGAGTTTCACAAGCAGAAAGAGTGACCTGGCAAGCAGCGGGTAAGTTGATGAAGGCCTGGCTTTACATATATGTAACAGATCATATATAGTGTATATATATATATATAATATGCAAGCAGTTTCAAAATGGTTCACGGTAGAGGATGGGTCAACGAGATTGTATGGAGAGACAAATGAATCACAAGTCTTGTATGGATTTGACATCATCTGCCATCTTCGGGTACTCCAATGCCTTTTACACACGCCTCCAGGGTTGCAAGACAATCTGGACATGTTCATCAGCACAAGCCTCACAAGCATCATCATGCATCCGAGACACGTTCTCCACCTGAACGAAGAAAATACCTGGGCGGAGCTTCGATTCGGACGACCAAGGCTTGCACTGCTACACCTGGGGTGGACCGCATGTGCAGCAACCACTCCACCGCGCCGCACCACCGAGCGACACCGGAGACGAGAAGGGACCGTTCTCGGCGAGTCACAGAAAGCCACCAGGATCAGCGTGGCCAAGGCCACCACCACGCTGAACTCCCGTAGCTTCCTGGAAAGACGCCACGGCGCGGCAAAAGTCGTGCCCGGACTGTCAGAGTAGGCAAAGACCCAAGATCATACAAGATTCAATAAGATCCATAAATTTAACATCTTTCAAACCGTCAACCTGAGGGGTCCAACCGGGTGCGATTCCCGTGGAAACCACGACCCTGCCTCCCCTCCCCGCATTCACACGGAACGACCCTGGCGGTTGCCGGCAGCTCCGCCGCGAGCGGCTCCGAACGCCCCGGCCTGGGCGGCATGAGCTCATCTCGCCTTCGGCTCCATGGCGGATCTTCGCGCCGGTTCGGCAAGGCCGCGGGGTTCGGCAAGGCCGCGGGAGTGCGTAGTTGAGATAGCGTACTCTCATGAAGGCACCACGTTGATCTATGTTTGCGGTTGGCATGGGTGCTGGGGTATATACTTTCACTGAGCTGCCCGGCTGCTCCATTGCTTTGGATTTAGGGGGGCCGTTTGGATGCAGTGGCTGCTGTGAAGACACGAGTCTGAGAAGACACTGTGGAGGATGTAGATGTTCATGAGGACTGCTGGTTGGTTCAAAGCAATCAGTGTTCAAGGAATCTTGCCTTCTTCATAGCGCCTGTGTGATCCCAAAGCTGAGAAAATATGCCGCCACTGCGTGAGCTTCAAGCATCTTCAAGCTGACGGAAGGGACAACAACACTGTATACGAGTGAGTGGTTCATAGTGATTCCTTTGAGCACCCTTCCCCTGCATTGTAGCATGCATATCGCAAGCAAGTATTTCAGGAGAAACTTCAGTCAATGGAGTGTGGGGTCTGGTGGTCATGGCAGCTGTGGCGTTGGATGGTCCTGAACCCTATCACCACCCACCAAAGACTACTGTTCTACTTTCAGCCACATGTGGTGCCTCACGTCCGCACGCACGATCTCTTCAAGACACTGACCGACGGCGGCCTCCTCTGCCTCTAAAGCAGCCTATGACGTGGTCAAAAATGGAAAAAGCCCTGGCGGCTTGGCCGGAGCAATCATGCAATGTCCGAATCTTTGAGGATCCAAAATGAAAAGATCTCCTTGTAGCCCTCTTTTTGCCCAGGCGCCCGGAAGAGCTTGCCCTCTCTGAAGCTGGCCATGGCATCGTGCAGTGCCCTCTAAAGCGATGGAACACCTTCCATGGAACTCTGTCTACTGTAGAAACTTCACAGTGGTAGGCCATGCGGCCTACCATGCGGCAAAAGCATGCAAAAGCACCAAGCTTTTGGGGTTGGAAGTCTGGCACAAGGGGTGGACAGTTCAGTTAGTTTTCCAGTCTTGTGAAGCTCGTGGGACGAAGAAATCGAGCTAACAAGACCTTGTCCAGTGTTTGGGCTGCACTTTGAAGCAAATTCTGGTAGGTGGCAGGTGTGGGGCTTCGGGGTTTCCTATGGGGTCAGTGTACCTCTTCATCATGCATTGTGCGGATTTAGGCTGTTTGGCTATATGTCAAGGGCAGCTCTGCTGCTCTGCGTTGGGTGCCGATGTAACTCCAGCCCATCACTCATCACGGTCCATGAAGAATGTTCATTCATGTTCGATTCGAATCCCTTCAGCTTCGCCGATATCATCCAGAATCGCCACAGCATCGTTCGGCATCTGTTTTCTTTTCTATCTTGAGCCCGGCGCCCGGCGTGCAGTATCTTTCCGCAACAGCGGCTGGACTGGCCCTGAGCCCTGTGAATGGAGTTATATATACTTTATATATAGATAGATCTAATTTGTATATATACAACATATGTGCTATATTCAAGCAATGCGTATATACATATACACTAGACATGCTTGACTTGCCAATCTGAAAACTGCTAAACACAGCAATCATGTCACGATTGTCTGGCACAGGCCGGCTTTGTAAAGCTGAACATGATGCTCTCATCAAAAACGTGCTTGAAACTCCAAAAAACAATTATGAGATCAGTATTGAAACTGAAACATCCATCGATGCAACAAAATCGTGAAAACATGTTGTCCACAAAAAAAAACGGCCGGGTCCAGTGATTCAAGGGGGCCCAGTGTGAGGGTCCAGTGTGTCTTGTACACACGGAGCGGCCAGTGGGTACCCTGAAAGCTGGGTGGGAAAGAGCTCGGACGCAAGGGGCTTGCGAAAAGGGTTGAGGTGATAGATCATTTGTGACCAGGAATCAGCTTAATCATGCGAAAAATACGAAAAATGCGCCAGATCTTGGTGGATGCATTGCTATTAGTTGTCAGCTGGGCTAATCAATGTCTTCAACACTCCTCCAAGACTTCTCGGGATTGACTCTCCCAGCAAGGTGAAAGAGGCACCTTGCATCGCAGCGCCAACAAGTCCTGCGACATGTCTTGAGTTCCAATCTTCATCAATCTTCCTATGCTTCGAAGGAGCTCTTGCACCATATCTCGTATTCCACTAGACCATCTGACTTGGGCATTTGGGGTCGTCGCCGGAAACAGCGGTTCCGTCTGCACTCCGAAACGATCTCTCCTTGGGCGCTCCCAGACCTCCGGCCCTTGTGGAGCCTCAGAGGGACGTGCCCAAAAAAGGAATTCTTTTTCAGGGCATTGATCAGAGTTACCCCCAGAAAATCATGGTCCAAAAGAGGACATGTTTAGGCTTATGAAGTTTTTTGAGGGACTTCTTAGCGTGTGATTTGCGATGAATTTGTGGTAGTCAATCATGCCCGCAGTTCAGGCTGCTAAGGCTGATAATCATCAAGAACCTGGGAGTGCATCAACAAAGCCCTTGACTGTTCCATGATGTTCTGAGAATACTAGATAGTACTGTCCGAAAACCAATCTGAAATAGCAAACCGTAAAGAAAATGAAGGAAGGAAGACCTAAATCCAAAGGCGCCTCCGTCCGGCAGTCGTCAGCCTCACAAGAACCGGCCTCCCAAAGGCAATCATAGCATAGCCAGCATAGCCACAAGATCGCCCCGAACAAGGAAAGTCGATCATATAGCCTATCATACTCATAACATATCACACCCTCTCATCGCCTATCAGGAAAATGCGGCACAAAACCAAAGCCTTCGGCGCCCTCGGGTCCCCCCGGCGGTGGGTGAGGAGGCACCACCTGAGGCCAGTCAGTTCGTCCGCGCCGCGGGGAGAGGCCTTCTCGGGCCACTCGCCGCAGGTCGGACACACCCGACAGAGTGCAAGAATGATATACCACAGCCGTCTGGGCATATCAAGCCCAACGGCTTGGGAACCGATTTGAGGGCGGAGCCTCCGATTCTGGCCAGCAAGGCCAAACGGCTCGGTATACCAAATGTATCACAAGGTCAAAACACGTCCTGGGACGACCCGGTCGGCCAGGGCCACGGACAGGGCTGCGTTGGAGAGCTTTTGGACCTACGCCGCTCATACGGTGTTCTTTGGAGCTGAAAGTTATGACTATACACTGCTCATACAGTTATGTAGCTCATACTTCAGGATATCCCAACTGTACTTGAGCTGAAACGTTGACATGAAACACATTGGACGTCCAGTCACCCCCCGTAAGGATTTCCGTTTGCTGGGTGAGTGTTGACAGGCAGGATTCTTAGGAACAGTGGGTCGGCCAGCGACTCCCCGGAGCCAGTCCACTGCCGTCTCTCCGGCGCTTTGCTTCTTCTGAGATGACCTATGACTGCATGGGTAGTGGTTCAACCTCTCTCATTGCCGCATGCCAAGGCCCATGCTGTGGCCAAGGACCATGCGAGCTCTTGCTCCGTCCAACCTCGGCAGAATTTGTGGGCCCGGTCCTGTCAACGAGGGGACCGCTAACTAGTAGGCGCTCATCTACTGGCTCATCGGTTTCTTCCATTGGCTAGACAGTTTTCATCTACTATACATCTATACTATATTATACTATAGGATGCTATAATAGGTAGTGGCTGCCTAAAACAAACCAACACTTACAGTAACGCCTTTCCTAGTCTCCTTAATCTTGTGTCCAGACATGTCCAGACCTTTCGGAAAACCACCCAGTCCTTTGCCAGAAGAGTCTTCCCCCACGACCCAGGTTTAGGCCGGATCATGGAATGTTTGGGAAGAACACCCTCTGCGAACTTGACACCTGAAAGAGGGAGTCCTAAACTGGACCAGTTCCGCCGAGCTCATCTGGCCCAATTGTCCCAACGGCTGAGTGTTAGGTTGAGCGCTCCCTTCCACATGAGCCGAGAATGCTCGGAATACAAGCACGGTCCGCTTGGAATCCTTGAATCCTTGTCCCCCTGCTTATGCTGCAAAAACTGTACCCCGAACACCGAACACCCGAGGCAAAAGCCAGCTTCGACCACTGCGTCTTCGACCGCATCAACCTCGGCCGTTTTAATCGAACGGGACGGGATGGTTTCGATTGCTGAAAAAAAGATCCTCAAACACCTCACGCTCTGCCATGTCTTTCTCCTGCGCTCCGTGGAGTTCTGCAGGTTGCGCAACTGGTTGCGCACACAACCCGCCGAACCGCGGGCTGTGGCGGCGGGCGCTCTCGGACCGCAGCGCCCCGGCAGGGTGCTAAGCATCCGCTGGATCGTTTGGGCCCGGAGTGGGCCCCCTAAGAATCCCGCAAAAGTGGATAAGACGATCAAAGCCAAGCTTTTGAAAAGGTTTAAGAAAACGGGGTGGTGTTTAGTCCCATCCAGTGAGTGGAGTAGCTGGGCACCCTAACCTCCATGGATAGCACCCCGTCTTGTGACTGCTGAGCTGCTGGTGGAAACACCGTGAAACGATATACTAATTACAACACTCTTCCAAAGGAATTCGTCCAAGCGGCCGGCCAGGCAGATCCAATCATCCTAATTCCGAATTGGCACGCATCACGTGTTTAATGACCGTGCCACCCACCGCGTCTTTGGCACGCTGGGGCCCGGAACTCTCATTTCTTCCGAAGGAATCTCCACAGGCCCCAACCCAAGGTCTTATTCATTGGCCATTGGCAACTAAACAGATTCTTTCCTGCCATGGGGTGCAGTAAAGAAAGGGATGCCCTGCCAACTCTCCGGCTGACCTTTGAGTCTGACCAATACAGCATCGGACAACTCTTGATCTTGTCACTTGTCTTGCTAACTGCTACAAGTGCTACAATTGGGTCAAATGGCTGAAATATGCTGAAATGCGAACGAAGAGTCTTTCCTCTTGCAACTGTCGCAGTTGGGGCCACCAGGACGCTTTTTTCCGTCCAGTGGAGTCGTTGGGTCAGCTTCCACAGACCTTCAGCCTCTGCTGTGCTTAGGGCTGGCCAGGCTGGCCCTGTGTTTGGAGATGGCTGGCTGGACTGATGCCAAAGCTCATCCTAGGTCGCACAAAACGGCTGGAAGGTGCCACAGCTATGCTACTTGGATAGGACATGTGCTTTTCCTTGGTGTGTCCTCGCTTGTCTCGAAAAGTGGGGTCGCGCTGCACCAGTGGGGAACCATTAGAACTGGTGCAGATCTGGCAGATCTGACCAAAGCAAGAACTCTTGGTCGTTGTTGGTCTGATCTGGGGTCCTGTGGTGTTTTTTCTCAAGGTTGGTGTTAGTCAAAGCTCGCACATGAACGTGAACCAAGTGTTTGGATGCTGGCGTCTTGACTCGGACTGCACCTACTTATAGCATCTTACAGCATGTGGCGACCCCGTATTTAGCCCACTGAGAGTGTGACAACCCACCAGACCCCACCGCTGCCAAGCATCAGCAAACACAGAATTCCCATGAGGAGGTTCCAGAGCCCAGCCACGAAGGTCAGGCAAATAAAGCACCTGAAGGGTGACCAAACCAGCATCGTTGACGTGGGACCGGTGCACCGCACCCGCGGGGCGAGTCAAGGCCGAGAAGGTCACATGTCGATGGCCATGGGCCAGAAATTGCCTCAGCCTGTTGGGATCGAATTGCTCAACACCACTGGTGTCACCGATATTCGATAGCGATGTCACGAATCAGAGTTGCCCACTGATCCCACATCTGTGCAGCTTAGCAGCTGTGTCACTGCCAAGGTCCCTATGAACCTGAGTTTTCCAGTTGCATGGCACGGCTCGAAACCAGCAAACCGTGCCGTACCTGTGACGTCGTGAGTACGGACCCTGAAGTGTTGGTCATTCCCCCGTCATTCCACTTGCCTCAGCCAAGCTGCACATAGAAGAAGCCTCTGCCTCTG